TTTGGTAGTGACCAAGGGCAAGACGAAATATCTCCTGTCATCAAACCTGTCGTACTTGGCTCCAGCATCAACACCGACAACCACGTCAGCCTGGAAATCCAACGCAGGCTATATCTTGCCAATAGATGCTACTTCGGACTAAGTAGTCAATTGAGAAGTAAAGTCCTCTCTCGATGAAGAAGGACCAAAGTCTATACGTCACTCATTATTTTTTTTTTTTTTGTTTTGCCATTAAAAGCGTCTCATTTCACAAGATATATTAGTTCTGAAGGTCTAGATTTTTATACAATACTCTTAGACATTAAAAAAGGAGGGAAATATTTTTGAATCAGCTGAAGTCTTCTAAGAGATATTATGGCAGTTTTTTAACCCCATGTTCGTTACATTTAACGAACCTAAATATATGTCAAATGGGGCTATAATCGGTTGTTGAAAAAATACGTTAATAATACGCTCTTCCACTTACTAACTTCAATCTGAGCCCATATGTAGCTTAAGGGCACTTTTTCGTTTGAAAACCGGTTCCTGAAGGGCAGAGTAAATTAAAGTTCTATGTTCCCGTCCAGAATTAAGAAGTAGTGCTTTAAGTCCGCGACAAAAGCTTCCTCGAACTGAAAATGAAAATCCTCTATCGAGTAAAGTCTTAGTTCGACGTTACAACTCTCTGAGTTAGTTTAACCCATACTAATGGGAATGCATTCGTGCATTTATCATTTATCACCTTTACTGAACAGCGGTAAAAATAATTTACCGGTGAACTACTTGCTCAAAATAAAACAACGCTGAATAGTTTTGAATTTTTTTATTGAAATCAATTTTGGAGTGATTGATAAATATTCTTTGTGAGCACTGCTCTTCTTTTAAAGCCTCTCTTTTGTTTACAGGTACATGCAGTTTCTACTGACACTTTTAATAAATAATATCACTTACTTCTAATATAACAATATTTAATAATTTTGATATAAACATTTGTAAATCTGATAAATGAAGAACGCAGCCATTTAATTAATACAACAAAACTTTTATATTCAAACTTTCTATTGCTTGCGTATTTTTAACAATTAAAGTTTTTTTTTTTACAAATAATACGTCTAAGCCGCTTATATTAACTTTAGCACTCAAGGAGGTTTCTAAAGTCACCTTTTTACGCGCTTCAAATTGTCAGTAAAATTATTTCACCCGAATTATGTAAGCTACTCATATGCAATTGCTTTCAGCTTCTAAGAGTAATGGTTATAATTTTTATTTAAAAAAACTTTTCCCTCTATTTTTTTTTTTTTTTTTTTTTTGCTTTCCAAAGGCCGACCCCGAATTGCGCCTTGCTCAATAATATTTTAGTTTCATGTTTATTATTTTCAAAACATTGTCCGTCATCACGGTGCAGCTGTTATTATAGAAAATATTTTAAAACTCATTTTATAGTAAATATTACTTTGTTCATATTTTTTAGTAATTTAAATATTTAAATTTGTTCCAGCAAGCTCTTTGTCATGAATTTTTTATTGGAAATAATTTGATTTATATTGCCGTAGGCTCGTTGTGTTCGAAAGTCTGAAATATTTTCTATTTTCTAAAATATATTTGTATGCATATATATTTCATATATTTTTGAAGTAATCACAGAAATAATATTAATATTTTTCGCCCCATAGATTATTTTAAGCTTTGCTTCTTATTGTCCATTTTCTTCAAATATTGGAATATGCTTACATTTTTATAACTTTATTAGAAATTGATGATTTTTTTTAAATATTTATCACACAGTTTTTATACAAAGCACTGCAAAAACAAACAAAAGTAAAATTTTTAAATTTGAAAATTTCCGAAAATACCATAAAAAATATTTTGACAGGTTGTGTACTTCGTAATCGTTTCAAATTATATATTCTCAGTTGGTTTCACACCTTTCTTTTTCTACTTATTGCTGATTTGAGCCCTTATACAGTCTATTCATATTTTATTATTATTATTATTATAATTTTTTTTTTTTTGTAAAAATTTTTGACATAATTTTAACAATAAGAATGAAAACATTTCGTGCTTTTTTGCTAAGGACACAATGAATAATTGAATCTTGAACCATGTTTTATTTTTTGAGAACTCAAATTGCCTTAAACAATTCAAAAACATTCCTTTAGAAAATTAAAAATTTTCAATTCACATACGTACATATTAACATACATATATAGTAAATTACAAAATATATCACTAAAACTGTTTACGCCTTCAAAAAAAGTCCGCTAATTTCATAAAACGAAATCATGTCTTTAGGTCATAAGACTGTCTTCTAAAAGGAAACTTAAATACATTATTTTGACTAAATTCACATATTTTTATATACATTATCTATTACTATTACTTTTACTTCAATATCATTATTAAACATTTTCTTCCAGTTTTCTCTTTTTGTACAATTTTTCCTTTGTTTGTTCACGCATATCTTCAGTTTTTTTATAAAGCTAATGAATTTTCCAAACTTTAATAGTTATGAAGTGGTGAATATTTTTGCATTAAGAACTAGATCAGAACTGCTGGACCTTAATTTGGACTTCCTGGAAATGTTTCACAAAACTCATGTCACTTAGCATTTCCTTGTCTTCCCACAAGAAAATCTTCGCCACTATTTCGTTGAAATTTTCTATTAATTAGATGTCTTTAATGTCTTTAAACCGGTATCTATAAAGAAGTGTCTCCGCCGCATTTCCTCAATGCTTCTGCAACAACAACTATACTGCCGAAAGGAATGTCATGCGTCTCATTATCTTTGGTTATCTGTCATAACTAAGTGGCTGACTATGTCCTAGTCCTATATCGTCGCTTAATTTTCGCTTAGAAGCACAAAAGACTGCAATAGTTGAATGCAAGACATTTACTGTTGTTGTAACGGTAAAACACCATGTACATACTAGTCTGTCTATCTACGCACACTTGCGTTGGAATGAAGCCCCCACAATATCAGTGTAATCGGTCAACTTTGTTATGTAGCCAACATTGTTGAAGAACAGATAGAAATTTCGAATCAGCCTTTAGCAATTATTCCAGATTGCCATATGTTTAGTCATACGCTTTCGGATTTGTCATATGCCAATATTTTCTTTTTACAGAAAGTTCTTCTAATTATCAGTTACTTCTCTCATCAAAAAATATGATCTTCGAAGTGATTAATTTAAACGCGATTAGGTTTTCAACCATACCTATGCAAATACATATATTTGAGGTATTTTTCCGTCGCCGCTATTCGAATATTCAGTAGGTATGCTTCCATCTGTTTCACATTATTTGTTTGCTTAGATCTTTATATTGGAACCTTATGAGTTTTGAGTCTTAAAAATACCTTTCGTAGAATAAGTTGTTGTCATTGTTATAGTCACATAGCATCGATCTATCAATCGAATACATTTATGAGCTTATTCGGAGAAAAATCCTTTATAGCTTAAGAGGGACTATTTCGGTGGTAAGATTGTGGCTTTTTAGGCACATTTCAATATTTCCAATTTCTTGTAAAATTAGATGAATTTCACTCAGTAGAGTAAGTTAGATCAGTATAGAAAAGATTATCTCGGAAAACACCTTTTGAATTCTTATTCCAAGTGAAGTGGGCTGAATACTATACAGTTCTTAATAAGTTGTTTCCCTCCTCAAAGGCGGTTTAGTTGTCACCGTGTTTGCTCTCTCCCCACGATGACTTATATTTTTCTCACATGCTTTAATGGCTTGGTATGGTTTCAGAGCTGTCAACGTTTCATAAGTCGTTCAAGTAAATTATTAAAGCCAAATTTTACATAAAAGGTTGGAGCATACTAATTTTGTCTCCATGCTAAGGCTTAGATGCTTAAGACTGCTTTGTGAGCCATATTTTTTGCACGACTAATCCGTAATAAACTCGTGTACATGAGTCCGGTACACTTCGGTCTCATGCAAAATATCCTTGCGGTGTGAACTCGTGGGATCTAATGTTTTGGCGCTTAAATCTCATCAATAACTTTTTCAGGAACTAGTTCCTTAGCTCTATAATTTGGAGTTTGGTATATTACTCTAGACTCCCACAAGCGTAATAAGTCACATGTCTTTCAGTTAAAAATATTACCGATATTTTATACTAAAATTGTCTAATAAATATAAATTATAATAAAACTATAAGATTTTACTACTACAAGTAAAACAGTTTCCAATTATATCTTCTTTCTTAAGAGTTACAATAAATCTCAAAGCATTTGTACGATATGTGAAATAAAAATTTAGGTAAATTTAAAACAATTAACTACTTAAAACATAACAATATAATTTCACCTGAGCATTATTGCAAAAAACAACAAAAAATCTTCACAATAAATTTTATATTCATATTTGTAAACTAAAAACATAATAAATTCAAATGTTCGTCAATACATTTTTTAAGCTACTGTAATTGCTAAATTTCAAGAGAGCAAATGTTTGAAAGAAAAACTGCCAAAGTTATAAGGTAAAATAGTAATTTGTATATGGGTCCATAACTAGCACGCAGCACTCTCAAGCACCACTCGGCCTATTAGTTCGAGTGACGCCCACCCTGTATTTCAGTCAAACAGACTCTCACTTCATATTTGCTTTTTTTTTCAAGAGTTGTTGCTGGTACTGTACGTTTGCATCAGGGGCAGAGTTACTTACTGCTTGGGAGGGTCACCGCCGCCACACCACAGTTCCATGCTGGCGCTCGAGCTGTAGGCGCAGCCGTTTAGCCGCCAACACATACAACGCTACTGTACCTTAAACTTTCGCTTTGGACTTCTCATGCGCACACTTTGCGACCAGCGCTCGCCAGCGAACCGCATTGATCGCAAGTGGCGACTTAAATAAAAAACAGTTCCAAGTTTTTCTTGTATTTTTGTTTCTTTAGCGGAACTATTTTAAGCGTATTTTTTGTTTTTCTTTCTACGATTTTGAACATTAAATTATGTTGTGTCTTGTTATTATTATTGCTTATTTATATGTGTATTTGTGTGTACTAATTAAAATTTAATTGCGACAACTTAAAGATTTTTTTTTGTTTGTTTGTATAATGTTTTTGTGAATATGTTTTATAAAAAAATATAGCTAAGTTTATTAAAAGTGAATAATGCCGTTACTCAAATTGCCCACGTATAAAACTCGGCATATACTTCCCGCCCAATGCTCCGATCGGCAAGCCGATCACAATCACTTATAAATTACCCTCCCTTCAGGGTTGTATTTCACCCCTGTTATCACTTCGCTGCTCCCGCTATCGACTACAGAGCCGCTTAGCGCAGACATTGCTCCTCGAACTCTGCTAAGAGACTGGACGAATTGAAGAATGCACGCTCCTTGCCTTCCGGTATGTATAGATCTGTGCGATCGTAGCATGTGGCAGTCGCACCAATTTCCACAAAGTACTGCACGCGTTCCTTGGAGTTGCAATCGTCCCCCCAGACCAGTGAGATCTGTCCCAAGTCGCGCGCCTTCTGCAACAGCTGCGCCCCCTCTTCACTTAGCAGGTCCTCAGCATGTGGCGCCGTGCCAGCCAACTCGAAAGCTTGGGCATTATTGATAGCCTGTTCGACAGTGCGTGTACGCAAGTCCATGAAAGGCGACCATTTCTTGGTTTGACCTTGGGTCAAGAACATCACAGGGAAAAGATTTTGCTTGAAGCGTAACATTGTACATATGTCCGCATCGAAGCTGGAGAAGAGCAGCGGACGGCCGCAGCCATGGTTGATGACGGTCGCTAGCACACGATCAGTAAAGAAATTCTTATCGATTGTCTGATGCGCTTCGGGCGCGCCGCTAGCACGACGCTGTGGCCACTTGATCTCCACATCGATACCCAACGACTTGGGCAAACCCTCGAGTACATCGACTAGCGTGGGGAAAATGCGGTGCTCCACACGTGGCTCTGCATTGTGTGATGGAAATTCGACTGGCTTGCCATTGATAATGGCGAACACGCGTAACTGCTTCAATTTCTCGTAATTTATATCTTTAATCAGCACATACTGCAGCTGCTCAGCCTTCGTGATGTTTTTACCCTGCGGTGCTGTGCGCATGCCAAAGTCATGGTAGATGACTGGCACACCATCGGCCGTTAAGTGCACATCCAGTTCAATCATGTCGGCGAATTTCTCATAAGCGCGCATAAACGAAGCGATCGTGTTCTCGCGTTCGGCTGGCGGATCGGCAATGTAGCTGCGTCCATTGCCGCGATGACCCACATTCAAGTTCGGCCAGCTCCTGGGCCAGTAGTGCGCGTATGTGGTGCGAAAGTCAAGCGTCTTATCGGCGAACGGCTTTACAATCAGGTACGGTAGTGTAAGACGCGCAATAATGGTGGTGGCCTCAGGCACCGGCTCTGTGATAGACAATTCCAGCACACCCTCGCTACCCTCCAGCTGTGCGGCTGTAATAACAGCCTTGCCGACTGGACGCTGATCGGGTGTGTGAAAAATAATTGCGAACGCTGTCTGCAAAGGACATGGTGCCGTAATATGGAATACAACAATATCGCCTTGCTCATATGCAATACCGAAAGCTTGCTGCGGCTGCAAATGACTCTGCGCATATTTCAATTTCGCCACCTCAACGTTTACGCCCGCCTCGTTCGGTTCGCCCTCCTCATTCAATGGCAAAATCTTCACCAACACTTCATCGGCCGGGTCGAATTTCTCAATATCAAGCACCTGGAACATTTGTTCACGTTCGAACTTCAACTGCACTATACAATCATTGGTCAACCAGCCACGATTAACTTGTGTCTCACCACTGCCATCGGCATCGCCGAAGCGATCAATGCGCGTCTCGCTGTTAGCCGACTCAGCGCCAGCGGGCTTGAGCACACGTGGCTGTAGACGTGTCTCCCAGCGACGTATCTGCTTGCGACCTTGCTTGTCCTCCACATAAATGAAATAGCGGTAACTTATATTGCGACAAGTTTGCAACAGCACATTGGCCTGCCATCTGCGGTCGCCCTGTTGTGGTTCCAATGCAATGGCGCGCTCCAAACGCCATTCACCCAAAGCCTTGACGTCACCAGTAAGACCGACGCGCTCGCTAGGACCCAAATCCGTGTACAGTTCTACAGCGAATTGCTGCAGCGTCGGCGTGCATGGCGTCGTTTCCGCGGCAGTTTCCAAAACCAGTAGTTCGTTCACGATCGTAGCAGCGTCCACGTACGAAGCGCACTGCACGAAAAAGAGCAAAAGAAAAGGACGAAAATCATTTAGTATTTTACGAAAAGACATCTTGCGTTAAGTTTTAAGTTTATTTAAGATTAGTGCGATTTAAACAAGTGTGACTTTTGCTATTGCTTGTCAGCGTTTAACTGCGGACATGCTTGATTGGAAGCTTAGTTTAAAACTAGACTGTGGTACGCTAAATGGCGCAATTGTTTCTGTAGATACAGGTATTGCGATTTCAACGACACAACAACAAAATGATATGGTTATGATTTCTGAATTTCTATAACTGCTGATAATAGACATACACTAAGACATATACTAAGATGCGATTAAGGGATTAATCTTACATATGTACATATGTACACGGTTAGCTGGGTGGAATGTCAAGCGCACGAATCTGACTTCATCATGTGCGTCAGCCGAGCCTTCCCGAATGCAAATCAAGTTAAAAAGCGGATCTTAATAGATAAGCTCGTTAACAAGCAGCTTCCTGAAAAGCTGATCTCACTCAACACATACATATATTATTTTTATGAAACAGAGTGCTGAAAAAATAGATTGTTTTGATGGAAGTAATCATGAATGTTACTGCCCTATGATCCGTTGTTAGAACAACACAGGTATTACTAGAAACATCTGATAAGCCGACAATGCAAAACTTGTTTATTTCCACGATTCTTACTGATTTCGTGAAAATAAAAATGAACAGTACCATAATTATATAAATAGAGTACAGTCGAGCGCAAAGCGAAAGAATCCTCAGTTTCAGTCAATCTTCGATTTCTTGAATGCCGAAATTTTACAAAGAAAATCAATTGAATTAAAATTCTTAGAATATCAATATATGAACAAAAATTTGAAGAAGCGGGTAAAGCAAGCACAGATACTTAATACTTAAGACTTGAGCACTTAAGACTATAGAAAATTAAGCACAACGTGCACAACAACAATTTCAAACACATAACTTGGAAAATCCAATAGTACCTGTTGGCATGATTTGTTGGATAAGGTTGAGAGGGAATTAGATGATGGATTTTGATAACTGCTTTTGGAGTTCTGTAAAAGCAAAAAACAAAAGTTTTTAATTTTAAGAGCATAAAGAGTGGGTGCAAGCGGCAGGTAGCTAAGTAGCTAAAACTTAACATAACTTAACTTAACGTAATGTAACCTTAACCAAAAAAAAGTATATGTTCATAAAACAAAGTAAAAAGATTAAGCACAGAAAAAAAATTAACTTAACTTGACATAACGTAACGTAACATAGATAACATACAAAAATTAAACGAAATAAAAAAGTATGAACTTACATAACATAAAATAACTAAACAAACTAAAAAGTTATGAAATGTTGCGCACTTAAAACGTAAAATTTTAAGTTAACTTAGCTATACTTAAGTAACTTAACTTGACATAACATAAAAAAAGTTAAACAAAATTAAAAAGTACGAAAAATTGCGCACTTAAGATATGAAATTTGAATTATACCCTCATCATGAATCCCATATTAAAACAATTTTCATAATTTCACTCACATTTTTTACTAATTTCCTGAATCTAAAATATTGCTAAGTTTGATTTATCGATCCATCAAAGTCATTAAAAACAAATTTTATTCAGAAAATCACTAAAACCAAACCGTACTTCCCCCCAAATCAAATACATGCACATCCAATCGGCTGATAATTACCCTTTCTTCCAAGAATTGTACCTCGAAACATGAACAATTGCGAAAATCAAAAGATATTTGTGGACAAAACGGTAAACAAATCAGCAAGTGGATATTATGCATTGGCAATGAGCTTGACGGCTTCAAACGAATAGCTGCATATAATAAGTAGATAAGTTTTACTTATATGTGTATTATATAGGTAAAGTTATCTAGAATTGTTTTGGCTAGCTGTCGCTTGAAATCAATCATTGCATTGAAGACGCGTGCCCCTGACATAATTCTAATGTCCGCAAATTCAAAAATAATAAGTATGCATAAGGTTCAAAATTTTGGCTGTCGTCTTTGTTTACGTCACTATGTCCGTGGAGTTTATACATATATATATTTTTAAATATAATAATATTTCAGCACTATGCCATATATACATGAAGGTATTTCAAAATGGCAATTTCAATTTTTGAAGTCAGAAAACCTTAGTGTGAGAAAACCAAAAGCAGCAACGGCACTCTTTCAAAATTTCTGTGCTCATTTGCCAAATATGACCCATCGGGATATGGTAGACTTTCGTAAGTGAGCAAGGTAATCGTTGGAGCATGATTTTATTGCTTACACCGACCGATGAAAATTAGCACGTCGATGTCCTACGAAAAGTAACAGATCCCCCCTTTCGCTTACCATAGGAACGAAAAACTCATCGATGCCACAGTGAAATAGTAACTCATTAAAGTGCTTCACTTCCTTCATTTTCAATTAGTCCTCTCATATGCCCTTTCGAGAATATAAATATTATTTCCTTATTCAAAGTTGAAACACAAAATTAAACAAAATTTTAAATTAAAATAGCAACACAACCAACTTTCTGCAAATTTTCTTCAATTGCTTGACGATGTGACGAAATAATGAAAATATTTACATATAAATTGTATTTCATAACTTGTATTTGTTGTTTACATATTGTGTTGCAACGCTTCTCATGTATTTACTTGATTGTAAATATGAACGGAGCAGAATTTAGCCGCATAGATTACTTTTATGCATTACCTAGTATCGAAGACTTCTACATAGAATATAGGTATATGATATATAGATATGTATGTACTCCATTCAAATTCAAAAATTAGCAAATTGCAAGAAAAAAGGCAAAAAAACACTATTTAGCTGCTACAGTTATCTCACATTTGTATATACCATATATTCCCACTCTGTCCATTTGCTTCGCCCACACTGATTAACGTGCACACATTCCAACCAGCAAACCACTCGACAGCACGTGATCACGTGTCTTTTCTTGTCAAAGATCGCCAGAATACAGAAAATTATCGCTATTGTTTATTAATAGCAGTTGTCATGTCTTCTAAAAGCACTTTGTTTCAGAGAACTTGTGTTCACGTGATCGGCAGTTAATGCCGAAGCGTTGAAGTCGTGCGTGGAATATAAATAAAATGTCGAAAGACAAAGAATGAAGGCAGAGAAGTGTTTTAAGAAATAAAAAATAAATAGAGAAGAGCAAGTAAGGGCAAATTGTGTTTTATTTTTGGATTTCACCAGTCAAACAAAAAGTCTAGTCAAATGAGTTAGCGAAGATACATCATAAAAATGCTTATCAATGCGCACAAATGCCTAACAAGTTTCATATCAATCCACAAAGCACATAGAAAATATTTGAAAGCATTAAAGCTTGACACCATTTGAATGTTAACGACAAAAAGCTCATATCTAAGGTAAAAGTAAAAGCTCGTAAGCTTCTGACAGCTTTTATTTCCAACAATATAACAGAGCAGAGCGCTTAGCAACAAACTGGTTATTTATTCGCGTCAGGGCTTTTAATGCACACACCGTCGCACATGGCGTATGAGTAATCTATATAGCCATTTACCTCACTCGCGCTCCTCCCACACACACACCCAACACACTTGAGACGACTAAGCGGCCAGCCTTGGGTAGCTAAAACACAAGTGACAAGAGTTTAGGTTGCATCAGCTGTTGACGCAGACAAAGCGACACAGATATTTATCTGCTCAAAGGGGATGTACACTGCGTATACGTAACAGTGGGCGCGTAACAAAATTCGGAAAGCTTTTGCATAATGCAAAAGCAAGCAAAAGTGTCACAGATTTACCCAAATTGCTATATTTAAAATTTCTGCGCTTGATTTTACCTCCGCGCCGCGTGTTTGCTGGTTAGCACTTGTTATTTTTGTTGTATTTGTAATGAGAATATCTGCTATATCTGAACTGGCCGTCATGCCGTCAACAGCGGCTGTTACTGTTACTGTCGTAACTGGCGTTTTCGTTGTTGTTTGCGGCGCTGTAGCTGTTGCTGCTGTTTTTGTTGCGCTTGTGACATGCGACCTTGAACTGCTGAGGGCGACGCTTCTCACAGCTGCCACGTGAAAGCAATCAAAACATTGCCCGAAATTGCGCGGCAAGGCACAACGCTTTGGTGAGCTAACGCTGTATGGTTGCGTTTGTATTTCTTGTTTTTGTTTTTGTTTTTGCACTACTTGTTGTTGCCGTTGCGGTTGGGTTGTCACGGTTTGTGCTGCAAAAGTTGGCATTGGTGTGGCACATTTTCTCAGCGTTGCCAGATAACGTTGTTGTAAGTTTTTATGCATTGAGCTTCTTCAGTCTTCAGCACTGCGCCAAAAACTAAATTCAGCTTACACTGCGCGAAATACTTTGTGCAAAACAACAAAAATAGTTCACTAGACACTCTCGGCACTCGCGTGTTTGCTACGAAATTCGCGGCGTTCGACTAATGCGCTGGCGACGCACCGTCAATTGGGTGGGTGAAAATACATTTCGCACAAAATAAATCAAGAAAAAATCGAAATGTAAACAAGGAAACTCACCTACCCACATGATTACTTATAGCATTATAATTGTTAAGTCCGTATGTATGTAAATAGTTGTTGGGCGACAGTAAGGCTGGTCGTTGCGTCATTTTTTGCACGAAAAAGCCTGCGAAATCCATCTTTAAATAGCGAAGTGAGGTGATTTTATGCCTTTATGAGAAAGTGTAAGGGGGTAAGTTGTTTTGGGAAGGAAACGCTGGCAGATTTTGCGCTTATTGCGTAGTTGTTTTCTTGGGAAAATTTTCTCTATATAAATAGATTATTTTAGGTAAATTTTCGCGTGACAAGCTGCGAGGCATAAGTGAAAACTTGATAGTTTTCCTGTTGGCATTTCAGTATAATTAGTGGCGTAGCTTTAATGCTTTTAGGTGATTGATTGGTTTGTTGACTTCAGCATATCGAGAAAGATAAAAGAGTTTTGAATATCTACATGTGCGAAAATGAGAAGCTAGGTTTATAGAAGTTGATAAGCATATTTTTAAAGCTAGTGAAATTTTTGTACTATTGCCAAATTTGTCGCATTCCGATTTCTAATTACTTGATTTTCTTTTGCAGGCGCAAGAAAGAAGATTTTTCATATTAAAATATATTTGATATATTTTTGTATTATGTATGTA